GTGATGTCATGATTAAATGATACCTGATGAAATGTTTTTGTCATAATTAACAAGATTAAAATTTCAGATGCAAAGTGGCACATGTTACATCAAAAAAAATTTTTTTTTAATAAATTAATTCATTTGTTAATATTAATAATATTTTCTGTATTCAGTCACAACATCTTTATTCACCTTCAGGCAATCAAAATCAAACAAAAGGATATCCAACTGGCCCCAAGAAGAAGCCCTGCTCATCACCACAAATTTTCATCAATTGTTAGAGTCACATGTGGCAATGTCATGCCTTGGGTCTTGGCAAATGCATTCTGCAATGGGAATTGGCACTTTGAGGCATGTGTATTGTTTATTTCAAAATTTATCATGATTTTTTGGACATTCATTTTAATAATGTTACCATTAGTTGGAAAAGTAATTTCTACATTATCATCATCTATAACTTTGGTGATCACACATATTGTTCCATTTCAGATGCCATGTTCAAACAGCTTACCAATGAACTCATGCTTTAATACTTTAATAGTAACTTCTTGTTGTCATATAACATTATCTGTATCAAAAAAAAATTATTAATTGTAAATTTTAGCAATAATTTAAGAGATATTGTTTATTGTTTAGAAAAATAGATTCTGTTTGATAATTATAAATAAAATAATAATAATATTCAAATAACTTTAGTTGTGCAGCTGCAGGACATTACATAACAATTTAAAAACCTTTTTTTGGATTTTGACATTTCTTTTTATTTTACCCAATAATAATAATAAGTAATAATTTTGGTTGCGCAGCTATGTAAACAATTGAAAAAACGTTTTTCAGATTTTGACGTAATTTTTTTATTTTGCCCAATTACAATTACAATAATTTTGGTGTAACAATTGAAAAATGTTTTTCGGATTTTGTTTGACGCAAATCAGGTTTATCATCCCATATTTTTTCCTAAATTTGATATATATGTAACAGTGTTGGCAAATTGACTGATCCATTGAGAGCTGATGGACTTTGGACTGGTCCATTGCCATTAATAAATTACTAAATATGACAAAAATGTTACATTAATGGAACCAATGGATCACCAATAGACCACCAATGGATCATACATTTGCCAACCCTGATATGTAAGTATGGTTGAAGTATTTTAACAATAATTTGTTTATTTGTTACTTGTTTTAGCATAAACAAGTCTACCAATGAAAATGCAAAGTGAGCTTTCGTTTTTTAGATATTATTCATGCTCTGCGAGATCAATATTTTATTTTTAACATCATTAAAATTACCTTGAGTTTGGATTGCGTCTTTGTGCAAAAAGACACATCACTTGGTGGACCAAGGCAATAGTCTATTTTATTAATTTGAAAAATTTAAGTAGGGACTATCGTCTCCCACATTTTTTTCACAACATCATCAACCAACAAGCGTGTAGAGATATTTTGGCTTAACAATTTATTATTATTATTATTATAGTGATACAAATTTAGGGTGCCATTAATGATGTTACGATAATCGAAAGATCCTTGAACAAACGTAAAAATTTATTTTTACAAATAGTAACACAAATTCTTCTATTTTTCAAGAGGGATATATATATACAATGAAGGATCGTGTGATAATGGTAATTTACTAACAAAACATATTAAAATAAACATCACAAAATATCCACTATTGAAAAAGCGATACAGAAGTTGGAAGTTTAGATAAATGTATCAAAACATTCACGTCTATACCAGCGAGTATATTATTTTAAATGGAAAATGTAATAACAAAGCATTAGTAATTCTGATGCATTTTTTAACAATTTTTTTTTTTTGCAGTTATTCTAATGAAAATATCTTGTGCAGTCCAGAATATTTGATAATAGATGATGTCATAGTACACAAACATAAAAAATGTGTACACTTGATTCTTTATTTCACAATTTTTAAATCTAATTTATGAGGCAAAAAATGTTTAATTATTAATTTTCGATTCAATTATTCAATATTTCTCTACCTTTTTGAGCTATCAAGTCAGTTTTACTATCATGTGCGTGTAAGTTCATGCCGATAATTACAAGTCCGACAATTGTTTTCTTTCAAAAATTCTTATAAAGCACGGCAAATACGGAAGGAATGGAAATATTGAAATAAATACACTTGGACAAAAGTTTGCGTCCAAAATTTCTTTTGAATTTATTTCAAAACTATACCAATTAAAATATTGTAGTCTTTACATCATTCGAAAGCTCTCGTTCTTAAGAATATATTCGTGATATTAAATTTTGAAGTTTTGTCATGAAAATAATCATTTTTTGTTTTTAAAACAATTTTGAAAAAATGCGGATTAACTGTTTCTGAAAGATCACAAATTATTGGCCTTTTAAAAGGTGGTCATACGAGAAAAGAAATTAGTGACATTCTTGGTTTTCTTAAAAGTATAATTCAGCGTTATGGAAGTTCCAAAACACCATTAAGCAAAAAAAGAAGTGGCCAACCCAAATTGCTTGGTGGTAATGAACACAGTGTTTTGAAGGAAATTGTTAAAACTAATAATAGAGCTGCAGCTAGTGGTATACGAAATTCTTTTAATGAAGCCATTGATATAAATGTTTCTGTTAAAACGATTTATAGAAATTTGAATCAAACTGGTATTCATTCTCATAATGTGGCGTTAAAACCACTTCTTGATGAAAAGCAACGTCAAAATCGACTTGAGTGGTGTATGAATCGGCGAGATTGGACAATAAGACAATGGAGGACTGTCATATGGAGTGATGAAAGTCGATTAACTCTTTTTGGCAATGATTGACCAACAAAAAGTATGGCGTGAGAAGGGAACTCGTTACAATATTGAAAATTTGGCTCCTTCTGTAAAACATGGTGGAGGTGGGATTGTGGTTTGGGTCGCTTCACAGCTAAAGGATCGAGACCATTAGTGAGAATAGAAGGAAAAATGAACCATAGGGATTATATAAATATTTTAGAAAATCAATTGCTTCCATTCATTCAAGAAAAATTTTCTAGAAAAAGTTACAAATTTCAGGATGATAACGCGTCTGTCCACACGGTTAAAATGGATATCTGAGAAAAAGTTAAAGATTGGCCTTCTCAATCTCCAGATCTTAATCCCATTGAACATCTATGGGATGAACTCAGTGTTGACAAATGACCAGGTCATTTGCCCGATTTGAAATGACCATCAAATGACCACCAAATGACCTAGTCATTTGATGTCATTTGTCATTTGCGAAATGACCAACCCAAATGACATCAAATGACTAGGTCATTTAATGTCATTTGATGGTCATTAAGGTCATTTGGTTGGTCATTTAAATAAACCAATAGAAATTTTACCAATTTATTGTATGACAAAGAGGTAGATCAATTCGTTTTTTAAAAAAAATATATATGTATAGAAGATATGGGTAAAGTTCCTCACAATTTCCGAGAATTCTTTACTTTGTTGGATACAGAAAAAAAAACTTCAAATAAAAAGGCTGTTTGTAATTTTTGTATTAAAGAGTATACATTACCTGTTGCATCTGTAAAACCAGATTGTTTTGTTTCAAACAAAGCAAAACTTTGTCGTGGGCATCTTATAAAATGTGTAAATTTTATGCAACAAGTTGAAAAGAATGAAAGGGAAAGCATTATATCAAGAACAGTTCCTGAAGACATCAAAAAAAAAAAAAAAAAACGAAAAAAGAATAGGGAAGATGAAGAAATTTCAGGTAAAAATAATAATAATAAATATAGTAAAAATAATTTAATAATACTGTATATATAATATATATATGTATATATTTTTACATTATAATATTTAGAAACCGAATCATCAGGAACTGAAGAGTTACCTTTCAACAAATCATCAACAGCCACTTCTAACAAACAGCCTTTAATTGAGAATTATTTTTCAAAACCTTTATCAAAAAAAAATAATTCATACTTTGAAATTTTATTATTAAGAATGTTAGTTTCAAATGGGTTGTCATTCACATTTTTAGAAAACCAAGAAACAAAAGATGTATTTAATTTTATTTCGCCAGCTATAAAATTACCTGGTCGACAAGCAATGAGCAATCGGATTTTACCACAATCAACTAAATTGTTAAGAGAATCAATCATCCAATTAGCCAGTAATGATAAAATTGGAGTAACTGCAGCTCTGGATGGTTGGGTCAATATAAAACAAGAACACTTATTAGGTATCATTTTTATAACATCAACTGGTGAATCTCTTGTTTGGGGAGTAAGAGATATCAGCGACCAAAGGTCAAAAACGGATGATGTTGTAAGGCATATCAAGGAAATAATGTATGAGGCCGAAGAAAATAAAATTAAAATTAACTGTTTTGTTTCGGATTCTGCCGGAGAATATGCTGCCGCTAGGTTATATATTAATTTAAAAATTACATAAAAATATTAATTTAATAGTTTTATTTATTTAATTTTTTTTTTTTAATTTTTTTTTTTAGAAAAATCATGCGAGTAGAACATCCTGACATAGTTTTTTTGCCTTGCATGGCACATCAATTTAATTTAATTGTTGGTGAAATTTTCAAAGAATCGGATATTTATAAGAAGGCTTCAGCGAAAGCTGTTAAAATTGTCAGTTACTTTCATTCATCACCTTATTTCACTGGATTATTAAGAAATGAACAAATATCAGTTTATGGAAAAACAATTGCTTTAATTACTCCTAGCGAAACTCGTTGGAACAGCTATTATTTTTGCTTTCATAGTGTTTTGAAAACTGAAGCAGCACTTAGGGTATGATTTTTGAATTTATTTAAAATGGAAATATGAATTTTTGGTTTACCTTTTTTTTTTCAAAAATTTAGACATTATCTACAAAATTTGCTCCTAGACGTATTGGAACCCCTTCTATATCTCGAAGTGGCCATAGTAGACAAAGACTTTTACCAACTTCTGTAGACCAAGAACGACATCTTCCTTCAGATATAATCACTATCATCAATGAACAAACCTTTTGGAATCATCTATTTGAACTTCAAGATATTATCCTTCCTCTATGTGCTGCTTTAAATAAACTTCAAAAAGATATGGCACGGCTTTATGAAGTAGTTCTTGCTTTTGGGTGGATTTTCAAAGTATTTTCTAATCATGAAAATGAAAACTTTTCTAATAAAATGATCAACCGACTTGAAAAAAGATGGAATAAATTTGAACAACCACTTTTACTTTTATCATTGGTCCTTCACCCACAATATAGAACTTCACTTTTTAAAAATACTACAAACAATCTTTCATATACTTATTTTGGTCAGTGGATTAATTATTATTATCAGGCTTGGTTTGGTACACCACCAATCAGAATTTTGCGGGAGTATTTATTATATCAAAAGAAAGCTTATCCTTTTGATATGAAAACATTTAGTCAGCTTGATTGTGAAGTAGTTGATTTTTGGGATTTAGCAAAAGGCGAGGCACCTGAATTGTCAAAATTGGCTCTTCACTTGCATGGAATTTGTATAAATTCTGCCTCTGTTGAAAGACTTTGGTCCAATATGGGTTTTATACATTCAAAAAAAAGGAATCGTCTTTATGTATGTAAAAAAAATATTAAAACTTGGTTTTCAATTTTAAGTTTTATTATAAAATGATTAATAAAAAATAAAAATCTATTTATTAAAAGCATGAAAAAGTTCTTGGAATGTGTCAATTAAGGAGTGAAATATTTCGAAAGAAAAAACAGTTGGAGATTAAAAAATATGAAAACCTTTATAAAAGAAATCACATTGCAATTCCTATTCAACCATATAATCAAGAATCTGTTGACAATGATAATGAGGATGAACCACTTGATGCAAATGAAGTAACTAATGATATGACACTCAGTGATGATAATATTGAAAATAATGACTGTGAAACATTAGAATGTTTTGAAGAAAGAGAGGAGGAGGAAGATGCATTTGAAGAAGAAACTGATGATTCTATCAACAGAACTGAGCATTGGGTGGAATTGATTCAAAATTGGATGAATATGATTGATGATAATGAAGATATTTCTGATCCTTTAGAATTTATAGCTGTAGATCGTAGTATACATCCTGCTGATGACCCAATTGCCAAATGGAGTCTGCATAGTATTTTTAATGATAATTTAGAATCACCTGATTTTATAAATTCATATGATTAAATGTAATAAAATTAATAAAATTAATAAAATTTTTGAATTTAAAATTAAACAATATGATTGGTTCGGCAAATGACCATGTCATTTAAAATTGATTTTCAAATGACCCAAATGACTTGTCATTTGTCATTTGAGTCATTTGAGGTCATTTAGTCATTTGTCATCACTGAATCATCTTGAACATAGTAAAATACATGTACTAAAAAGGGGTATGTATTACTTTACTGACAATCATTTTACTGACAGTTCATTTTACTGACAACACACAGCGTGCCATTTTAGCATTTTATTTGTTGTTTGATCATGTGGAGGTTAAATGGCACACTGCGTGTTGTCAGTAAAATGAACTGTTGGTAAATGATTGTCAGTAAAATGAATGCCTCCCCTAAAAAGGAATAGAACACAATAACCAATCAATATTTTGAAAAAATCTCTCTGTCATGATAAAGTTTGAGTCTCAATCTATGCAATAACAGAGTTATTTTTTAAAAAGGATCAACAGAAATGGACTTCTATTCTTCCAAAAAGCACGTGCAAAAATGGTGGTTATAGGCTTTGCACACCATAGTAATGCAATTGTAACAAATTTAATTATTAATTCTTATAATCAATAATTATTGAAATTTTTACTTGACAGACCATGACCATGTTATTGTTAGGCATCAGGCACTATTATTATTAATTCATATTTATTGTGTCAATGGAGAATAACTATTATACTGAATATACTGCTGAAATTAAATATTACATCATTTTTTTTACTGTAAATGATTTAGATGATTTTATGAAGTAGATATTGTTTTAAAACATAATGGATATGATTGAACTGGCTGGCCTTGGTGTTCATAAACTGGTAGCCCATTTAATAGCTGTATGATTTGTTCCTGGGTTAAATAAGTCAAAGGATTTCATATTGCTATCAGTATGCATATTATATCAGTATTCAAAAGGGAAGTAATTACCCTCAACTTCAGAAGTACATCCAAAAGCCTATGCAAAATTTTTCTGGTACTTGTATGGTTTTCCATATCTACACATAATGGTATTTCTGCTACAAATTTGTAATAAGAATGTGTTCTTTTTGCTTCAAATATTCTTAAATTTCGTCCTTATAAAGTAGAATTACCAATATTAATATCACATGCAACAAATTATTATGTAAAATATATATTATATACCTGATATTTGAATACTAAACATCTTGAACATATTAAAAACAAATGGGTGTTTCTTTGCACAATAATCAAGCCCATCCTTGTTCAAATGGGCCAGCTTGTTCCTATCATCATAATTCTTTTTTATTGTTGAAATTGGTCTGCTAGTTTCAAGATGAGTGAATTCTATTATATTGCCAAAAACATCCACAGAGACCATCATATCTGGTTTTCTTCCAATGTTTCCATCACCTTTCCTTTCTTTACTAACTTTACTTTCTGAATCTCCTCTACAATTAAAATATATTAAAAGTTAGTTTAAACTTATTAGTCAATAAACAAACAACATATTATATGTTACTATTACACTGTAATCATATATTGCAAACAAGTTGGTAGGTCATCAAGTGTTGCATTAATCAATGGTGACTCTATATCAGCTACATATGAATTTTCACTAACATTATCTCCATTAACATTTTCCATTTTATACTTATGTTGTCTTCACACCCATGATCTACAAATTAATTTAATTAAAAAAAAAACTAAAAAAATATTGTGCTAATTGTTATGTCTTTACATACATGACATGACCAGTAATGATTTCCTCATGGTTTCAGACCACCCGTCAGCAAAAGGTCATAACTTTAGTAAATGTGTTGACTTTTTTTCTTTCTGGTATATTAGATGCTTGTCTACAACTTCATCACAAAGTTTTTCTTCTATAAAATATGACATGTATAATCTATGAAGTATATATGGAGAGTCACAATGTTTTGGAAGGGAAAGATACTTAACTTCAAATAGCACACATAAATTCATTGGTAATTTTCCAATTATAGAAGAAAAGGATGTGATTATGCCTGATGCCAAAGGGTTGTTGTATTTTAATTCATTAATATTAATGTCTTCAACATTATTATGCAACTCTTGTATCAATAATGCTTCATTACCATACACCAGGGCTGGAAAATTGACTGGTCCATTGAGAACAGATGGATTTTGGACTGGTCCATTGCCATTAATAAAATACTAAATATGGTTAAAGTATTACACTAATGGACCCAATAGACACCAATAGACCATCAATGGACCACACATTTGCCAACCCTGCCATACACACTATTTATTTCTTCATCCTGTAGCATTTTTAATGATATTATTTGTTAATATTTCAATTATTAAAAACTACCATCATTGTAATTAGCAACAACTTACAAGATTCTTCTTGAGTGTATTGATATTTTCACATATATTAACATCCATGATGTCATTTTCATTCTATAGAGACAGGTTGTAATTAAGTTAATTAAATTGATTATATTGTAAAAAAATCAAAGTTTCAAAGAACAGATATCATCCCACCTTTGCTTGATGTATGATTATCAACACATTGTATAAGGCTAAAATAGTGTTTTGATTGATCTAAAAAAAAAGAAAAGAAAAGAAAAGAAAAAATATTTTAGAATAATGACAAGTCATATGCAAATTACATAAATTTATTGCAATTTGATCAGAATATTATATTTTATTCACAAGCTAGATAGACTGTTCCACAAAACAGAAATCAAAGACCATTGGCTTTTAGTCCCATATTGGAGGATAATCCACAAGTCTTAGCCTTGATGGATGGCTCCAGAAGAAGAAATGAACACAATCAAGAGACAAGTTTTTGGCTCCACATTGGAGAAACCAATTACCAATTTAGCCAAAGATTGTTTTTATGAGTAGAAATGTTAAAAGCCTTAAAGGACCAACAGACTGATGATTGTCTTTTTATTAAAAGACTAATTGGTGATTTTACATTTTTTTATCATGCAAAAACTAATGTAGGACTGAATCGTGTTATTGATTCCGAAACTTTTTTGTAGGTGTGATCTCACACACAAGGAATATCTAACATTATTTAATAGAGCCAGCCTTATCATTCAACATTATGCATAAAAATAATTTTAGATTTTATTAACCTTTTTCGCCTTTTCTATAGAAATTCCTAAACTGTTGTTTGTTTTTCCACAATCTTTAATTTTGATGTAAGCACAATTTGCTTGAAGTAAATAAGTACTGTATATATATTCCTTTTTTATTTCACTATTTATATCTAATCTCCATTGTAACCAACTTGTTATGTTTGTTTTAGTTACACTGCTACAATTACAAAAAAAATATTGTTCATCGATGTTTTTATCACATTTTGTTCCTGAGATAGAGGGTAAAATAGTTTTTTGTTTCTAAAAAATTATATATATGGAATGTGTTAAAGCTTTGCTCAAAAGATAAGGTTTCAGATTTCAAGAATTTTATTTTTTCATACTTACCTTTAAACCATTTTTAAATTTGGGTGAATCTCCTCAGTCAGGATGCTTATTATCACTATTAAATGTTGGTAATGATGACAAGTATTAAACATCATTTTTTTTTAAAGAAAAGGTTTTTTTTGAAACTCAGATCATCCAAGCATGGATATAATAATAATAACTAGAGTGATGACGAGTGGCGATAATCATCACCACCATTCTTTTGATAAACACTTACCTGGTGATATTTTCTTGATCATTCTCTTTTCTTCTTTTTCTTTTTGTTTTAGTATCAGTAGACATAAAAAAAATTAAAAAAAAGAATTATTTATTTGATCGACAAACGCGTTCATTAATTATTATTCCACGCTTATGTTTTTAATACAGTTGACTCTGTTTATACCGAACCCCCGTCATGAGTTCGTTATAGCCAGCTAGATGTGTCACGTGTTGGAAACATATATAATAATAATTTAATTTGGTTCAATAATATTTATTGATCAGAAAAGCTTATAAGAGTTATTTTTATAATATGAAATTATAAAACATGGGTTTACCCGATCAACCGTTATACCGACAGGGCATTATATCGACAAGTCATTTTCTAACAGTCGCAGGACATTGCGGATCTACAGGGGGTCAAGTGTCACTCACTAATAAAAATTTTTTGATTAACATGGAATTTTATATGAAAAAATGAAGAAAAAAATCACGCTTTCATACACAAACTTGCCTGATTTAATCAAATTG